ACTAACTCAGGGACCATCATCAAGATGACATGGGGCCTTGCCTCCAAAGCACTCAGCATAGCTACTGGACTGAGGCTGGGACTCTGAAACATTAGTTGTTATTGTTTTTTGTTTGTTTTCTTTTTTTTTTTTTTTGAGACAGTCTCGCTCTGTCGCCCAGGCTGGAGTGCAGTGGCCGGATCTCAGCTCACTGCAAGCTCCGCCCCGGGTTTACGCCATTCTCCTGCCTCAGCCTCCCGAGTAGCTGGGACTACAGGCGCCCGCCACCTCGCCCGGCTAGTTTTTTTGTATTTTTTAGTAGAGACGGGGTTTCACCGTATTAGCCAGGATAGTCTCGATCTCCTGACCTCGTGATCCGCCCGTCTCGGCCTCCCAAAGTGCTGGGATTACAGGCTTGAGCCACCGTGCCCGGCCAGTTGTTATTGTTTTTAGCTACAAAAGGGGTGAGCCATGATCCCTGTCCTCCAGTACCTTGAAGTCTGTTAGATTCCCTGCCTATTAACATTAGGGTTGTTTCATTTAACCGCCGAGTCTTGGTTTCTTCATCCGTGTGATGGATTTCATAAGCCCCATCTCCCTGGATAATTTTGAGACTTACATGGCACAGAGTAGATGTGCCAAGTGTTTGTCATTCTCTTGGTTGACTGGCAAGAGCTTGGGACTCAGTGGCAGAGGTGGCTGGGCTGAGAAGGGCATTTCAGTGTGGGGGGCGGGGATCTCAATGGGGCCTGGTTTGGGATGTTGGGAAGGGAGCATGGCCTCTGGGTTGGGGGGAGTTGGATGAGCGTGCTGTGCGGGTGAGGGTGGGCAGGCAGGATGCCTAAGCGGGTACTGGGCCTACCCTGCTTGCTTTGAGCCCACCTGCGTTCTTCTCTTGCAGGTTCATCTATGAGTTCGAGCACTTCAATGGTGTGGCTGAGCTGCTGGAGATCCTAGGAAGGTGATTCTCCCTGGGCCTCAACTGGAGCTCCGGATTCTGGAAGGAGGGACTGGGGCCAGGTCAACTGAGCCCTCTTCCTCTCTTCTGCCTCCTCCTCAGCATCATCAATGGCTTTGCGCTGCCCCTGAAGACGGAGCACAAGCAGTTCCTGGTTCGCGTCCTGATCCCCCTGCACTCTGTCAAGTCGCTGTCTGTCTTTCACGCCCAGGTGAGGCCCAGGCCTGGCCCCGCTGCAGCAGGAGCTCCAGACAGTCAGGGTTGCCAGTGGGTCCTGGAGGTCAGATCCTCCAGGGATCCTATCTCACCATTTTTGTTTTTATAATTCTGTTCCATTTACCTTAGAGAATTCCCACTGGCGCTTTAAGGCTAACCTCAGGTATCAGCTCTGTGAGGCCAGGCTTTTCTTCTCTATCCTCCCTTGGCAGAATGAAATTCTCCTCCCTCTATATTCCCAAAGATTTGGATACACAAATCTATTATGGGAGATTTTGATACACAAATTGTTTTTTTGAGACAAAACCCTACTCTGTTGCCTAGGCTGGAGAGGAGTGGTACGAACATGGCTCACTGAATCCTCTACCTCCTGGGTTCCAGCAGTCCTCCCTCCTCAGCCTCCCGAGTAGCTGGGACCACAGATTTATGCCACATACCTGGCTAATTAAAGAAAAAAGTTTTTTTGTAGAGACAGTGTCTTGCTATGTTACCTAGGCTGGTCTCAAACTCCTGGGCTCAAGTGATTCTGCCGCCTCAGCCTCCCAAAGTGCTTGAGCTACAGGCGTGAGCCACCACTCTAGCCATATTATGGAACCTTTTGCAAAATTTATAAAGATGAGTTTGTTGACCGTCCCCCCTCCCCGTGAGATCATAGTTGTATTCCCAGCACACTGAGTGTGATGCCTGGTACATCCTAGACAGGTGATAAATGCTTGGTGAATAAGAAAGTAACAGGCCGTGGGGGAGCAGTGTCTGGCATTCTGTCCTGGGCAGCAAGTCCTTGGCACCTGATGCCTTCCTGACCCATCTTCCTTCTCTCCACCTCTGCCCCCTTGCAGCTGGCATACTGTGTGGTGCAGTTCCTGGAGAAGGATGCCACTCTGACGGAGCACGTGAGTACCTCTGGGGGCTAAGGCAGCCTCTCACCTCCGCAGGCGTGACTCCTCTCTGTCTTACCTCCCACAGGTGATCCGGGGGCTGCTCAAATACTGGCCAAAAACCTGCACCCAGAAGGAGGTATGAAGAAGGGTTTTGATGCCCACCAGAGGGAGGCTGGGAGGGCTCGGCCTCTAGAAGGCAGTCAGGTGTGTGTATGTGTAGGGGGAGATGTGAGCTGCTGCCCCTCTGTCCCTACTCCCCTCCCCACCCCACCCAGGTGATGTTTCTGGGGGAGATGGAAGAGATTCTTGATGTCATCGAGCCCTCCCAGTTTGTGAAGATCCAGGAGCCCCTTTTTAAGCAGGTGGCTCGCTGTGTTTCCAGCCCCCATTTCCAGGTATGAGGCAGGACAGGCGGGGATGGGAGCAGGGCTGGCCTGGAAAGGTTGGGTAGCTGACCTAATACAGCTCCCTTTGCCCTCAGTTTCTCCTCCAATCCTGGGTCTGGTAATGGGGAGATGCCGGACTTAGGGTCAGGAGACCTAGGGTGAAGCCTCCGACTGCCTTCCACTGGCTGAGGGGCCTTGAGCAAATCACTGCGCCCCTCTGATTCTGATTAAGCTTCTGCAGCTGTAAAATGGGCCAACAACCTCTTCACAGGGTGGGGATGAGGATGGAAGAGATTGTGAGTGTAAACATGTTTGGTAAACTGAAGTGTGCTCCATAATGGGATGGAGGACTGTTATCGCTTTTCCCCTTTTGCTAGTGGCCTTAGATTTCATTAGACTCGCTTTGGGATGCAGTCAGGCTTCCCCACGTCATCCCAGCTAACTCAAACTCATGTTCTGCTGCAGGCACGTGCAGACTTCCTCTCGTTCTTATGGGTCATAAACCAGTGGAAGTCAAGTCTTCCTCACAGTGATTCTGGCCCTTCGGTTCATTAAACACCTGAAAGTCTAGTATCTCATTGGATTCTTATAACATCCTGTGGACATAGGTATTATTAGCCCATTTTACAGATGAGAAAACTGAGGCTGGGAGGTTAAATGCCTCTCCCAAGGTCACGTGGTGTAGTAGAGTCTGTAGTGGTTAGGATTCCCCCGCAGCATTGGATTCCATATCTAATGCTCTTTTCCCTTCAACACTGTTGCTTCCTCCAGGGCTCAGATGAGCCTTGAAGGTGGGGTGTGTGAAGGTCAGGGGGCCTGGGCATTGAGGTAGTGATGGACACCAGACCTTGCACACAGAGAGAAGCCACTGCCCTCACTCTGCCATCTTGTCTGCCCCAGGTTGCAGAGCGGGCTCTGTATTTCTGGAACAATGAGTATATCCTAAGCCTCATTGAGGACAACTGCCACACTGTGCTGCCTGCCGTGTTTGGGACCCTCTACCAAGTCTCCAAGGAGCACTGGAACCAGTGAGTGCCAGGCCGTGATCTAACTCACAGAAACTGGGACCAGGGCCAGCCAGTCCAGACCCTAGGGTTACTCCTAGCTGGAGAGTATCAGAGAAAGCGTCAAAAGATGGCCCAGGGGTGGTGAAAAGGACAGGGAAGTGGGCAGTGCTTGTGTTCAGGCTGGAATGCTGCATGTGAAGGGCAGGGAAAGGGAGAGGTGGGCAAACCAAAGCTGTTTCATCTCCTTGTCCCTCCTTGACCTTGCCAAGAACCATCGTATCGCTGATCTACAATGTGCTCAAGACCTTCATGGAGATGAATGGAAAGCTGTTTGATGAGCTCACGGCCTCCTACAAGCTGGAAAAGCAGCAGTGAGTGTTGGGGGCTGGGCGTGGGGGAAGGGAGAAGAGCAGGGAGGAATCAGACCCCCATGACTGGAGGGAACCTGAGGACCACCCCGAACCCTATCTGATCAGACGTGCAAGACTCTGCGTGCTCCTGCCATCCTATGCCTGTCTGCCCCTGTGTCCTCCCATCATTCTTCGAGTAGCTCGGACTTGTTCTGAATCCCTGCAGCTTCCTACAGAAGCCAGAACCACTCAGAGCCCCACCCATCGTCTTCTCCGTGACTGCAGGCTGGGATCTGTCTCTCTCTGCTCTCTTCCCTCAGCAGAGGGTTTTTATGGAGTCACAGAACAAAAATGGTTCCACGCCTTCCCATTGCCGCTGGGGTGGTAGTGAGGGAGTCTGGACTGTGGGGGGCCCCAGGAAAGGGAGCTGCCTCACCCTCTCTCCCCAGGGAGCAGCAGAAGGCCCAGGAGCGTCAGGAGTTATGGCAAGGTCTGGAGGAACTGCGGCTACGCCGGCTACAGGGGACCCAGGGGGCCAAGGAGGCCCCTCTCCAGCGGCTTACACCCCAGGTGGCCACCAGTGGGGGTCAGAGCTAGACAGCACCTCAGAAGGGGAGAAGCTAACCCAGAGCTGTCAGTCCCTCTATCCCTTCTCCTGTCCAGGGGCCCAGAGAGAAACACACCTACCCCTGGCCTTGCCAGAGTGGCTTCTAAGGACTCCCTGCCCAGCCCAGCTTTCACTGGGGGGAGACGAGGAGAGGCAATGGTGGTCTTGGCAACAGAATGCTCAGCCCCTCGCGGCAGGACTTGACAAGGGCAAGCTTGACCAGGAAGCTGCCATCAGGGATCTTCCCCTGCCCCACAAAGCTGGGCTCCGGGCTGCAGGCGGGCTCCCACCCTCTGCTCCTGGCCTTGGGCAAGGGCACTCAGCGCCTCGCCTGCCCCTGCCTCTGCCAGCGTGAGGTCCTTCCTCATCCCCACCATGGGGTCCATGGTCTATTTATTCTCGCCCAGCTCACCCTCTACACAGACACTGTCCTGGGTGCACACTCCTCCCCTCCCTTGCTGTGTACTTCCTTGTCCCCTTTTTATTTATTGGGCAGGGGGAGGGTGAGGGCACAGGCAAGAAGAGATTCACAGTGTCCTGGGGTAAGGGGGGGTCACAGTAATCATGGTCTACCCCTCTTTCCCTGGCTGTGGGTAGACTTAATAAAGAGAGAAACTCAAGAACTGCTTGCTTTATTTCGGGGTAAGGGCAAAGAGGGAAGTAAAATGATAAAGATTGGTTTAGAAGGGCCAGGCAAAGGCAGGGAAGAAAGCAGAAACTCCCCTCTTCTCAGGTGACAGTCACGAAATCTTACAAAGGGTCAAAGCTGGAACAACCCTCCCTTATTTAAAAAAATTCCATAGCAAGTAACCAGCAGGGTTGGAGCTCCTTCCAGTTTTTGAAGCTCAAACACAGGTTTCCCCCACCAGAATGTCAAGTCCTGTGACCCAGGGGAGGAAGGAGGGGAGAGGATGGGCTAGTAGCGAGAGAGGCGACACATGTCACACTGGCAGGCCCGGGCAGTAAAGATCTCGAGCTCCTCCCTCCGGCTCCCCACACACTGCAGCTGTACTCTGACCTGCGGGAGAGGGGAGTCTGTGCTGCAGTCCCCTTTCTCAGGGCTGTCTTAGATCTCCGTCTCCCGAGTCTTCCCCCAACCCCAACGTCCATCCATCGGGCTCGGGCCCTCCTCACCTTCTTCAGGCCACTGATGGTGCAGCACTGAGAGACGGAGGTGATGTTGTGTCGGTAGCCACTGGCCACCAGCACAGAGTACCGAGAAGGGAAGGCGCTGGACTCACAGTGACCCACACAGGCCTGTGCCATGTGGGAGCCCTGGCAGGTGCCTTGGCGGTCACTTCGCACTGTCACATTGAAGGCTAGAGGGAGACAGGCAAGCAGTAGACGGCGCCTCTGCCAAGGTTTGCCTCGCCCCAGCTCCTGTTGCCTGTGCCTCAGTGTGGGGCCCTCTAGGGTACTGCTTGCCCCACCGTCCACTCTATCAGCTCTTTGCTCCCACCCAGAACCTCCACTCCTCCTAGCCATCTGCTGCCAGAGGTACTCACGGTGCAAGTGGCAGCCTGGGATGACTGCCTCCTGGCCGCAGGCTTCAGTGACTGCCAGGACCAGCAGACAGAGAACCAGGGTTTGAGGGGACGCCATGAGCATCTGAAACACAGTGGGGAGATGTCTCTATGTGGGTGTGCAGGTGGGATGGTGAGTTCTTTAAATACTGCATTCCAGGTGAGTGAGCCAGGGCTGGCTGGTCTGATAGGTGGTGTGCCTGAGTGGTGCTGCCTTTTCCCTGTATCTACCTTTGTATGTGTGTGTATGGGTGTGAGTGTGAGCAGCTGTCTCTGGAAAGGACCTGTGTGTCAGCCCTCTGTGCAGTGATTCTCCCTTCCCTGGAATTTCCTTCGCCAACTGGAGCGCAAACATCTTCCTCCCTCCACCTGCCCCATCTTGGCCTGCAGGGCCCTTGTCCACATTCCCAGACCCTCCCCAGAGCGCCTCCTGCCTCAGCGAGCTCACCACTTCCTAGGCCCAGGAACAGAGCGGCTTGCAGTTTTCCTGTCCCTCCTGCTGGTCTCCAGACTGTTGCTGGCTCTCCAGGCTTTATTTGCCAGCATTTTGGAGCCACGCCCTCTTGGAGATCGGCTTTCAAGCCAGCCTCCTCTGCCTGAAGCCTCAGAGCGATCCCACCTGGGGATCTTACTCTTTGAGGTGTGGTCCTTGGAGAGCAGCTCCTGCTGCTTTCTGCTTCTTTCTGTCCAAAAAGCTACCCACAGTCCAGGCCTGGAGAAGTCAGATGTGGAGAGAAGCCTAGGAGCTGGTGGAGTGTGCAGCACGAGTGCAGTTGACGACAGAGGGGTCAAGACTCTTGGCTGAGTTGTGGGCACCTGGGTTCTCTTTGCTCTGTGACCTTGGACAGAACACTTCCCTGTTCAGGGCCTGATCACTCCTAACTTTATTATTATTTATTACTATCATTTTGAGAGGGTCTGGCTCTGTCACCCAGGCTGGAGTGTGGTGGTGTTATCTCAGCTCACTGCAACCTCCACCTCCCAGCCTCCCAGGCTCAAGCCATCCTCCCCCTTAGCCTTCGGAGTAGCTGGGACCACAGGTGCACCACTAGGACCAGCTAACTTTTGTATTTTTTTGTAGAGATGGGATTTTACCATGTTGCCCATGGTGGTCTTGAACTGCTAAGCTCAAGTGATCCGCCTGCCTAGGCCTCCCAAAGGGCTGGAATTACAGGCATGAAACACTGTGCCTGGCCACACCCCTAATTTTAAAACCACTAAACTCAGCCCTGCTTGCCTTTTTCTAATGCAAAGGAAAGGGACTGGGGAAGGAGATTGTTAGGGCCAAGGGAAATTATACCAGTGGAGGTCTCCTGAGATGTGCTTGGTGGCAGGGCTGGGGGGTTGGGCTGCTGTCTGTTTCAGAGCTGCATGGCCACGGTGTCAGTGGGTGATTCTCATCCTGTGCTACAGAGTGCCATTCTGAGCTGGAGTGCTTCCCTAGCCCTGGAATAACAGGGACCTGACTCCTGAAAGGGCCTCAACTCATCAACCCCAGCAAAGCTGATCGATTTGTCCAGCTCTGGTTTTATAGATGAGGCAACTAAGGCTCAAGGAAGGAAAGTTACTAAAAGTCACCCAGCTGGGTAATGTCAGGGCTGATTTCAAATTCAAATCTGCTGTCCATCCATGGTGCTAAACTACATTTGAGCAAGAATGTGGCAAGTGGGAGAAAGACCCCTAGGCAGCAGTGGCCAGAGGGGTTGGGGCAGGGTGGGGAGCCAAAGGAAGCCTGTGGTGATTCTGGGCAGCCCCCTTCGGGGTCATTGCCTCACTGACCTGCTCGGAAAGAGCAGGGCCAGTCACAGACTGCCAGAGCTAGAAGGCACTTTATAACTCACCAAATCCTACCCCCGCATTTTCTGGATGAGAAAATAAGAGCTCAGCGGAAAACAACTTCCCAAAGCTTCACTGTAAGCTAGTCAGAGTCAGGGTGGGCACTCAGCTGTGCTTCTTAGCAGCTTTGTAAAGCAGGCCATGCTTGGGACAGTCCAGTAAAGGCTGTAAACACAATTTGAGAGGAATTGATGTTACTAATGTCACTAATCCTTAAATTCCCACACCCTGTGGTTTCCCCATCAGCCCCCATCCCCTCAAGTCCTGGGTCCTCGATTGCCAGGTCCTCCGCAGCAGTCCATCTCTTCTCTTCTCCCCGCCAAGGATGCAGGCAGCATAGCAACAGGATGCAGCGGGAACTCAGCAGTTCAGCCCCTACTCTCCCACTCATGAGGGGCACCCTCTGGCATGTGACAGATGATGACTTCTGTATAAAGCATTTGGGTGACGAGGCTCATTACCTTATGAGGTAGCCCATTCTAATATTGGACATCTCTAACAAGTAAAAAGTGACTCCTTTGTTGTGAGCTAAAATGAGTTTCCATACATTTCCATAGATCATTTTGGTTCTCCACGGCCACACAAGGCTAAAGTGTCTGTTACAGATCAGTCCTTTAGTTGAAGGCAGCTCAGGTGCCCAGGCTTTCTCCAGGGGTGCCAACCTGGATTGACTTCCAGTTAATCTGAAAAACGAATCTGCATTACTGTCAAACAGTTAGAGGGATAGAGAGGTGGGAAACATTTTGTCTATGGAGAGGCTACCATTTGGGGCCAAACTGGAACCGGGGAAGAGGTCTCTTGGGTGAGCAGGGCTCAGGACAGTGAGTCTTGAAAGACCCCATTCCCTAACCTCTGGCACAGAGTCACCTATCCAAAGTGATCCTGTGAACAGTAACCAGGTAGACCTAGGGAAGTTTCATGCATTTTCTCTCTATCTTGAGGGAAGAATTTGTTCTCTCTTACTCTATTCCACTAAATTCAATCAATAACTCTTCATAAATAATTTATTGTCATTAGGATCCTAAGTACTGAAGACAAAAGGCCTAAACGGGCCCTCCGGACATGAACATTTTAGAAAGTTCCATTCTTAATGTTTTAAATTGGAAAAAAAATATATAAAGGGGCAAAGGACAGGATAAAACCACAGAGGACTCAGCATGGGGACCTCATTCTCCATGACTGAAGTGTCATAAGAAAAGGAAAGAGTTGGAGGAAGAATGATTCGGGAGGAGTCACTGCAAGAGATGATCCTCTTTCCAGCGCTGCATTTGGAAGGCTCAAGAGTGGCTGCTCTTCCTGAAGAAATATCGAAACGGGAAGAGAGAGCTGCAAGAATGAGAACAGAGTAGGCTGAGGCTCTATGAGGTCTCCTTCCCTTCTCCCCATTTCCCATTAGTGCTTCACTAGCTAGGGCATTTTTGCTCTGGGGAACCATTGAATGGAGATTCAAGACTGGAATAGCATTTGAAAAGGTACCCAAATTAGATTATACTCAGGAGGGGGAATAAAACAAAAGAATTGCAATGGGATGGCAGAGAGAGAGAGAGAGACATTTGCTAACTGTCCTCTGCAAACACAACCTAGATTCAGAGGGGAGAATGGAAATATTTTGTAACCAAATCATCTGAATGGCTCAAGTAAACTAAGAATAGACTTTGTTCAAATTAGTGTTTTTGTTTGTTTGTTTTGAGACGGAGTCTCACTCTGTCACCCAGGCTGGAGTGCAGTGGCACGATCTCAGCTCACTGCAAGCTCCACCTCCCGGGTTAAAGCAAGTCTCCTGCCTCAGCACCCCCTAGTAGCTGGGATTACAGGAACGTGCCATCTCACCCGGCTAATTTTATCTTATTTTATTTTTTTTAATCTCAGCTCACTGCAACGTCTACCTCTCAGGTTCAAGCAATTCTCCTGCCTCAGCCTCCCTCCCACGTAGCTGGGATTACAGGCATGTGCCACCATGCCTGCCTAATTTTGTATTTTTAGTAGAAACGGGGTTTCACCATGTTGGCCAGGCTGGTCTTGAACTCCTGACCTCAAGTGATCCGCCCGCCTCGGCCTCCCAAGGTACTGGGATTACAGGCATGAGCCACCACGCCTGGCCCAAGTTAATGTTTATGGAGCTTGGCTTTATCCTGGACACATCAGGGTGGAGGTGGGTTGTGTAAAAATAAGTAAGACGCAGTCTTTATTAAATGCACAGTTAGGGCTTTTGTTCTCAATCTCATTTCCATTGTCTATCTTAGACATAAGTGAGAAGCCTCTGTGAGTAATCTGCTTTCTTTTCTATTCTAATTTCCCTGAAAGACTCAATGAGCTGCTCTGAGCTGGATCTCGAGTCTCATGGCCAGATAGAAGCTGTCTTACCTTAGAAACCCAACGAAGCCGCTGGCTGCTCGCTCCTTAGGTGGAGGTGTGTTGTGCTGCAGGGGTGGCACAACTGGCCCTGGCAGGCTGTGCCCCCACTCAGAATCTGTAAGGAAAACAATCAGGCAGGAGCAAGATGTTTGAGCATAGGCCGTTTTCATGTGAGTAGAAGGCAAAACACCCAGTATGAGCCAGAGGCAGTCTCACACCAAGAGTTCCTTAAAGCCAGGTGAATTGTTTGTTCTGACCTTCCCAATTTCATCTCAGCTCAGTAAGATGCTATTCTGACCTCAGAGTATTTTCAGTCAAGCTCCTGGGATATTTACACAGCTCAAGTTCCAGCCATGCACTCCGGCTGCTATGTCTTCACATAAAATGACAAGTTGTTGAAGGACTCACTTGCCTACATCCCTGTTTCTGTGATAACTGCAGTCCACATTGAATCCTCATGCTGGGTAAAAGATCAGCAAGTAGGGAGGGCAATAGCTTGACATGCATTCCCAGCCCCTGCAAAGCATCCATTTGCAACTTCAATATTAACTCTAATGCCCCAAAGGGAAGAGATCATTCTCCAACAGTACAGAAAAGGGAAACACATCTCTCTCAACATTTCTATAAAGTTTATCACCTCACTTGGAAATGTTTTGAAATGGTCAGAGCATAACTTCACTATCAGAAGCAAAGGAAGGGCATGCACTGCCTCCTTTCACTATTTCTGGGAGCTGGGGGGCTTCTATTACTCTAGGACAGGCCCCCCGACCAGAGTTTGGTTAACAAGCACCTCCACGGGAGCAAGGCACATTACCCACTGAGGGCACCCAGACTCAGCTCTGTGCTGCTCTACGTATCAGAGAACTACAAGGGAAAGGGTGATTATTAAAGCAGAATAAATGGAAATTTCCCAGGACCTACCTTGTTTCTGGACACCAGTGATATCAGAGGCCAGAGTCTCCTGCAATCCTTGTTGGGTTTTTCTTTCCCTGTTCTGTTTAAAAGAACACCAAGAAAAGTCTTAAACTTTACTCCTACACTGCATGGCAATCTGAATGCTATTTGCTGGTGAACTGATTTCACATTAGCACTAGGGCCTGTCTTCTGACTGCCTAGATAGGTTCTGTATTTCTTTCCATTTCTTTCCATAGGACTGTCCTTTTTTCTTTTTCTTTTTGAGACTGAATCTTGCTCTGTTGCCAGGCTGCAGTGCAGTGGCGCCATCTCGGCTCACTGTAAGCTCCGCCTCCTGGGTTCACGCCATTCTCCTGCCTCAGCCTCCTGAGTAGCTGGGACTACAGGCGCCCGCCACCACGCCCGGCTAATTTTTTGTATTTTTAGTAGAGACATGGTTTCACCATGTTAGCCAGGATGGTCTTGATCTCCTGACCTCATGATCTGCCCACCTCGGCCTCCCAAAGTGCTGGAATTATAGGCATGAGCCACCGCGCCAGGCCAGGACTTCCCTTTTTTCATTTCAACATCCTAACTATTGTCCCTCTAAAACCGTAAGATTTAAAAGCCAAGAATAAATCAAGGTGGGTTTAACTTATCATCCCATGTTACTGAGTGCCTACTCAGTAACATGAGGTTTCAGAAATCAGGAGGACCTTAAATTGACCTTGGAGAAATGTATACTCTATGGAGCAAATGGACATAAACTAAGTCAAGACAGTATGATGGCCGGGCATGGTGACTCATGCCTGTGTAATCGCAGCAATTTGGGAGGCTGAGACGCATGGATCATCCGAGGTCAGCAGTTCGAGATCAGCCTGGCCAACATGGTGAAACCCTGTCTCTACTAAAAATAGAAAAAATCAGCCAGGCGTGGTGGTGGGCACCTTTAATCTCAGCTACTCAGGAGGCTGAGGCAGGAGAATCGCTTGAACCCAGGAGGCAGAGTGAGCCAAGGTCGTGCCATTGCACTCCAGCCTGGGAGACAGAGCGAGACTCTGTCTCGGGAAAAAAAAAAAAAAAGAGTGTGATAAGACCAACGAATCCGTATAGAGTGCTGTGGTTGCTGAAAGGACATTAATGGAGCAGGTGGCGTTAGTCAAGGAAGGCTTCACAGGGGAAGTGATATTTGAATGGAGTCTTCATAGATGGATGGATGGATGAGTGGGATGTTGTCATAACGGGGGTGAGGAGATGGTCAGTCACAGCAGGGCATTCCAGACAGGGACATGATGTATGAGGGCACAGTGCCATTAAAGAATAAATAGGATCAGCATGGCTAGAGCCAGGCATGGTAGAAACATGACTGTGGCATTAGCAGCTAGCATAATATAACACAATCTTATTATTTCTCCATGTGCTGCTCCTTTATATAAATTTCTTTGTACTCTGAAGAGGACATTTTACAACCTGATTCCAGGCCCACAACATTTTCCAGTAAACACCCTGATAATCAGAAATACGATTATTATATTTTCTTTGGGAATCTCTGCCACTGGCTACTACTCTCTTCACCCAGTCTGAACCTAGGGGCTTTACCCAGCAATGATGGAGCTCCTCAAGCTGTTTTGCTGGTGAAGAGTTCTTTTTTTCTTTCTTTTGGGTGTGCAGTTCTGTGAATTTTTTTCCCATTTTTTAAAATTTATTTTTTATTTCAATAGGTTTTTGGGGAGCAGGTGGTGTCTGGTTACATGAATAAGTTTTTTTAGTGATGATTTCTGAGATTTTGGTGCACCCATCACCCAAGTAGTGTACACTATACCCAACGTATAGTCTTATCTCTCACCCCCTTCCCACTCTTTCCCCCAAGCCCCCAAAGCCCATTGTATCATTCTTAAGCCTTTACGTTCCCATAGCTTAGCTCCCATGGCTAAGAGTTCTAGAGCAAGGGGCTGCAGACCGTAAAGGTAGGTTCTGGGAGGCAGAGGCATGGCAAGTCTCTAGAAAAGCTAGGACTAGCCCCCATCCTAAGAATAAACTTCCGGTTAGAATGGCAGCTATCTCTGAACTGAGCCTCTTCACAAACCGCTCAAATCCCAGACCACATGGGCAGCTACCTAAGTCATATTCCTATAAAAGCGACAGGGAACTCTGGGGAGGAAGGAGACCATTCTTACCTTTTCTATAGACGGTGGAGATGGAATTTAGAGGGCCAAGCTCTGGTTTCTGGCTTGAGGGAATGATTCTTACAAATTTAATGAAACTATGGTTCGGGGCTTTAATCCTGCTGCATACAGTAGCCCTAATGAAAGCATCTATTAAGGGTGGTAGGAGGAACAAGAGGGCAAAGGCCCTGGGACAGAGGTACAGCCTACCTCTGAACCAGGGAAGAGTCCCCTCATAAGACAGTGTAGCCTTTTTGTGATCTCCCAAAATTTTGAGAGATGTCTTCTCAAGAAAAAGTCATAAGGGAGGAAAAACATTATAGCTGGAATTCAGACTGAAGGTATCATCTGGGACCTCCATCAGAACATAATACTCTGAAAACCTGATGCAAGACTGTCCTTTGCATGTTCAGGGCCAGATCTGTTTAGAAGTGCAGTTCAAGCAGATATAGCAAAACAACAACAACAACAAAATGCGACGTGCAGTTAGTCTGTTTCATTTCTGGGTCATTCATCTGCTCCCTCCCATATTTTTATCCTTCCAAAGTCTGGATCTCTAGATCTGGGACCTGAAGTAACAAAGGCAAGGGGGTTCTGCTCTTCCTTCCCATTCTCCCTAAACACTTCTTATGAAACAGAGGTACGTGTTGTATTCTTCTAAGCTTTCCCCACACAGGCTCCCAATGTGTTCAGACATGCACATGCACAGTGACTGTGATTCTACACCATAACTCCCTGCAAAGAGGGCAGAACATATTAAGCAATGGACCATAGGAGCAAATTCAATTTTTCCAGCTCAAGTGACTTATACTGAGAGTCACTGTGATCACTAATTTAGGAGAAATCATCTTTCTGGGAACAGGGTCCATGATGGGCCTTGAGTCAAAATCAATAAACATGTTCCTTTTACTAGAGTTTTTTCTAAATCCAGAATCAGGTTGAAAAGGTAATTATGTTGAGTAAGAAGCTGTGGGTACTGTTCTTGAGGGAGATGATGTGTCAAACTAAGAATAGGAAGATATGAAGTTAGAGAGCGAGGAAAATGTTCCTTTAATAGTAATTATCTTGGTTGTATAAAGTGTTTTTGTTCTCCAGAGCTTCAAGTACTCCTCATGTACTTTCTCATTTCTTTTTCTTACCATCCTAAAGGATGGGAGGCATAGAAGGGGTTGACCATCTGCCCAAAATCACTCAGTGGGCCAGCTGGCCACAGCACAACTGGGGCCCTGGACTCTGCCCCCGCACACAGAGGCAGAGGTATAAATCCCCAAAGATACACTCCTTCCCCAACTAAATTACAAGCTCCTAGAAAAAAGAAATCAGGGTTTACATATGTTTGTGTATGCCCCAGCACCCAACACAATGCCTTATGAGCAGGAGACAGAACAATCCCTTAGAAATGAAAGTAACTTAATTTTTCTACTTAAAAATGTTTTAGAGAAGTCCTGTGATCTTGAAGGTAGTCTCAAGGCTTTTCATGATCCAGTCCATTCTGACTTTTCCAGTAACATTTCTCAGCACTGGACTTCAAGCTACTCTGGGAATCCTTCCCTCCTGGCCACTTTATGCTCCCTTTGTATCCTGTGCTTCCTTCTACCCCTGCACATGGCACATCTATCAGTAATTGTCTACCTAGCTGTACACTGCTGGTGTATCCCTGGTACTTGGCACATAGTAGACACTCAAAGAAAATTTGTTGAATGCATCCTGGGCAACATGGCAAAACTCCATCTCTACAAAAAATACAAAAATTAGTCAGGTGTGGTGACACATGCCAGTAGTCCTAGCTACTCCAGAGGCTGAAATGAGAGGATTGCTTGAGCCTGAGAGGTAGAGGTTGCAGTGAGCCGAGATTGCACCACTGCACTCCAGCCTGGGCAACAGAGTGTGACCCTGTCTCAAAAAAGAAAAAAAAAATTGTTGAATGAATGCATATGTAAATGTTTACTTGATAACTGCTCATGTTATGGGTCCTGGAAAGGTGAAGAAAGTGAGTTGTTTGTGTTTGGATACTTAGGGTCAGAGCAACTTTGAAGACATAGAGAAAAACAGGAAGGATCTTTAAGGCATGGATACCAGCTAACAGCTATTTAAAGAGGGGAGGAAAAGAAAAAGGTCACTATTTTAGAGAATACATAGAAAAGAAGTCCTAAAATGGAGGAGGGGTACCAGATATATGAATATCTAAATGGGAAACATACCCCATAAATGAAATCTAATTCCATCAGGGGCCAACCCTTCACTGCTCTAGAAGTTTTCTCTTACCAGTTATCAGTGCTGATACATGCCTAGCTCATTTGTTAAAACTAGATGTTCCTAGACTCAGACCCCAGTATAGATGAAGGCGAAAAGTTTCCTAAAGGGAAAATTCTATACTGGATTCCACCTCAATCCTATATAGACATATTTTCTTATTTCAACTGCAGAGTACAAGTAGCTTTTTAAGCTGAAAAGAGAGGATTTTTTTTTTTTTTTTTTTTTTTTGAGTCTCGCTCTGTCACCCAGGCTACAGTGCAGTGGTGCAATCTCGGCTCACTGCCAGTTCTGCCTCCTGGGTTCACGCCATTCTCCTGCCTCAGCCTCCCCAGCAACTGGGACTACAGGCACCTGCCGCCACGCCTGGCTAATGTTCTGTATTTTTTTTTTAGTAGAGACAGGGTTTCACCGTCTTAGCCAGGATGGTCTCGATCTCCTGACCTCGTGATCCACCGGCCTCGGCCTCCCAAAGTGCTAGGATTACAGGCATCAGCCACCGTGCCTGGTCTTTTTTTTTTTTTTTTTTTGAGATGGAGTCTCACTCTGTTGCCAGGCTGGAGTGAAGTGGCACGACCTTGGCTCACTGCAACCTCCGCCTCCTGGGTTCAAGTGATTCTCCTGCCTCAGCCTCCCGAGTAGCTGGGATTATAGGCGTTCACCACCACACTTGGCTAATAGTTTGTATTTTTAGTAGAGACTGGGTCTCACCAGGTTGGCCAGCCTGGTCTTGAACTCCTGACTTCAGGTGATTCGCCCGCCTCAGCCTCCCAAAGTGCTGGGATTACAGGCATGAGTCACCGTACCAGGCAAAGAGAGGACTTTTTAACAAAAAGATTCATGGATGCGTGTTATTATGCAGCCACTTTGGGATGTGCTGTGGCAAGGGCATAATAGTTGAATGTTATTCTGCAGACGGTGAAACCCAAGAATGAGTTCAGTCAATTCAATCTGCATGAAAAACCAAGATGTGCTGGTAACCGGAATCCCGACTTGTAACAGAACAGGAATAGCTGACAGCCTCTAAGCCTCCATTTTAGTACTTACTCTCCTGGTTTCCATAGGGGGCTTCTTTTTGCTGGAGCCTTGGCTGGAAGTCCCTATCTTGGCCCTGAGGCGGGGGAAAAATATGCAGGGAATGTTACTGGCAGAGGCAATATCACTACATTCAAGCAAATGTGGCCCAAATGAATATTTCAGCAGGTTGGCTATTTTTATACCACTCCTGGCCGGCAGAATAAATTGGGTGGCCAAATTTTCTTTGGGTGCTGCTTTACTTCACAGCAGAATCCCAGTTTCAGACACTTAGGGATCTGGGGTTTGAGAAAGTGAAAATGTGACTGACAGCAGGTATCAGATTTTGAAACACTTGACTGTGCATCAAAACCCAGAGAAAGGGAAGATCTGAGACCTCACTTACATGGAAAATTCAGTCGAATGGAACACAACAAAGCTTCATACCTCCAAGTACCCTCACGTTCCACCTGGCTTGAAAAGGAGCTCCCTATCTCTTCATCTACATGTGCATCTGGAGAGCATGGGGTCAGCTTCTTAGTCTACCTTACTTCTCCTATATGTCTAGGGATCCACAGTGTCCCAGGAAAAGGGTAGCTCTTCTCTGTGGGCCTAGGGTGGAAGCATCTTGGGCTACGAAACAAACCACACTTTGGATTATTCCAGCAGCATTCTTATTAGCTTTCTAGGGTGCTAATAAGAATGACTGAATTGTCTTACTGACTCATTTTGTCGCTGATAGAGAACTGAAAGAAGAACATAAGTAGCCTCCACAGTAACAATATGTTAGGGATGGCTCAACATTCCCCCTAATATCACAGTACCCCACCCAATGATTGATACATACCCTCTTGCAAACATTTACATTTTAGTCTGGACTGCCTCTTAAGGTTCCAAAAGCTAACTGCTCACTGGGTAAAATAGAATTATATTTTATTTGTTCTTATTCTTTCAAGAGTTTCCCTATGTTTTTGTATAATATTTTGAGACTTCGTAAGTCTTTTGCCTTCTGGTGATATTACCATAGTAAGTATTATTGAATGTGCTCAATTCAATTGTTTAGATCGGGCTGTATTTCTTCTCAGCCTTCATCTTGCGAAGAAAAATCATACTTTGCTGAAAAAGGGACTATGTTCAAATTATATTGTAAATATTAACTTGCTCCCTTTCCTTAGTCCACCCACTGGAATAGGCAGATACTGATGAAGTCCTGAAAAAGAAAGTGACTTGCCCAAGGACAGGATCAACCAATGGTAATAGCTGGCAAAGCCTAATTAGGATGAAGGAGCGAGACTGTCTCCCCACACCACTGACCTGTCCAGCCCTGGCCTGCTGGGGGAGCTGGGCTCGTCCATGTGTTTTCGTTTCCTCATCACAGCTCCTACTGCTTTCTTCTCAGCTGGGACCTTCAGAGAGGAAGCAGATGCCTGTGACTCCTCCTTTCCAGAGTTGCTCCCAGTTCATGAAGGCACAGTGAAGAAAACTCCCCATTCTTAAACTGCCAAAGGCAACTTTTAACACCAGCTTTCCAAGTCAGAATAGACATTCTGTTACAGACATGGTCTCAGAAATCTAGCCAAGGGGGAAAATACTGTCTTATGTTTACAATTCTGATTGGATCTGGGCAGCAACTGAGGGGCAAAGTAAGAGGAAGAGGCAAGAGCAGGACTTTTTGGACAAAAGAAGGTGATAAAGGCAATTTTCATTTTGTACAGAAAAGGCAAACTTACCAACCCAAGAGGACTGTCACTCATTGGTTTCCCTACAATACGAAATTTGAGTGTCATAATAAAATAATACTTTTTTTTTTTTGGAGATTAAGTTGCCCAGACTGGAGTGCAGTGGTGTGATCTCGGCTCACTGCAACCTCCGCCTCTTGAGTTCAAGCGATTCTCCTCCCTCAGCCTCCCAAGTAGCTGGGACTACAGGCATGTGTCACCACACCTGGCTAATTTTTGCATTTTTAGTAGAGAGGGGGGTTTCACCACGTTGGCCAGGCTGGTGTCAAACTCCTGACCTCGGGTGATCCACCTGCCTTGGCCTCCCAAAGTGAGCCACCAGGCCTAACCATGATGCTGTTTTACCTGGATTTCTGGCTACTATTTATTTCTTGGAACTGATCCTAGACAAAGACTCCTCATGTGCCCTTCTCCCTTCTACCTGGTACCATTTTCCCTAAAAATAGTGTCTTCAAACTCTCTTCCTCCCTTGTTTCAGAATGACTATAATCTATAAGTTAGAAGGGGTTTGAAAAGGGAGGGGACGATTCTTACTACAAAAGAAAAAAGTAGAACTTCAGCTACCTGTGACAAATGAAAAGGGGAGATATTTTGAGGCAAGGCCTTTGCACCCCTTTTCCTTTTTTCTTTTTTGAGACCTGATGGTGCAATATAGTGAGACCCTGTCTCTACTAAAAAAAAAAAAAAAAAAAAAAAAAATAAAATTAGCCGGAGATGGTCGCACATGCCTGTAATTCCAGCTACTTGGGAGGCTGAGGGAGGAGGAACACTTGAGCCCAGGAGTTAGAGGTTACGGTGAACTACGATCACACCACTGTACTCCAGCCTAGGTAACAGAGTGAGACTCTGTCTAAATAAAAATAAAATTGGGAGATACCTTTAAGACAGCTCTAAAGTGAAAATCATGGAATTTACTCTAATGGAAGGGTTTATATAATACTTATCTTTCATTCAGTGATTAAGTCAGGCTTTGTACTTTTCATCTACTATTATTTATTTAATCCTTTTAACAACTCAATGATATAGGTAGTAATATTATACTTCACAATTTCACAAGGGAGGCACAGAGAGATTAATTTATCTAACTTCACACAGCTGTTAAGTGGCAGGGCCACCAGTATTTGAACTAGTCAATCTGGCCTGGAGCACATGATCCTGACCTGTGCACTGTATGGCTGGAGCCCAATCTGGTAGCCCATTTCACCATATCCAGCTGGCACTGCTAAACCATTTTCTTCTCTGCCATTCACATTCACATCATTCCACTTACCAGGTGACAGGTTTTCATGGAACCATTTCATCTCCACGTATAGAGTCAAAACAAATGGGTAGGGGATCAAGATAATTTCTCCATGTTTGAATTTCAGGTGGGAAACTCTCTCCCATTTGCTTTTATCTGGAAAATGATGCTAAGGAGTAAGGAAAGATGCCAGTATGCATTCCTAAGTACTATTTTAGGGAGAAACTCTCTCTCCTTCCCCTGACCTACCCTCCAAACTGCCTATGGTTTTGCTACTTTCATTTGAGTCTAAAATGTGGGCCGTAGCTCATTTCCAGCCAGAAAAGAAAGGATAGGCTGGGCGCGGTGGCTCACGGCTGTAATCCCAGCACTTTGGGAGGCGGAGGCGGGCGGATTACCTGAGGTCAGGAGTTCAAGACCAGTCTGGCCAACATGGTGAAACACTGCCTCTACTAAAAATACCAAAATTAGCCAGGCGTGATGGCACGTACCTGTAATCCCAGCTACTCGAGAGGCTGAGGCAGGAGAATCGCTTGAACCTGGGAGGCTGAGGTTGCAGTGCGCCAAGATCACACCATTGCACTCCAGCCTGGGCAACAGAG